TACTATGGTTGACATTCAGAGCGATAATAATCACAAGCCATCCTAACTTTGCCAACGTGATTGCCACCCATCATGACACACATTTATGTTGTGTAATCCAAGGACGGTAATTTAAAAGTAGTTAACTGACGGCTTGTTCTAGTCAATGTTTTGACAAATGTTTTTCAAATGCAAAAAAGAAAATATATCCATCAAGTGAAAAAAAGTCACCTGATTATTCAAATACCAAAACAATTCCTGATAAAGCCCTAAAATGATCACAATAATCCTAGCTAGCCTAAACACACAATGCTTCATTAACTGCCGCATGATCTCTATTTTATTTTGGCCATTTAACAGTTCGTGTTGAGTTCCCAGATAGGTTGAACAACAGTTGAACAATTTGGCTTCTGCCAAAAAAAGGATAGTCAGCATTTCCATGGATTACACAGCCTCATGTGACCAAGCACTACTAGACCTTTCACAGGGAGGGGAACCTTGCTGTAACCACCCACTTTTCTGGTAATCAGTGTTTTTAAATTTCATTAAATGCTAGGCATTTGGGGGAAAAAACATTTTTAAATTTGAATAAAAATGTTGTGATTTTATATACTGCTTTTATATACTGCAAGGCCTTAAAATGGAAGAGGAAAGAACAATAATAACAACACAGAAAGCTACAGTAAGAAAATGTAAGTTGGGCCCATTATGCAAATCACAAAATATCCTAGGCTGCATTGCATTACATAGAGTATAGCCCAACTGATACAGGATTTCTGAGGGCAATACCAATATTGACATTTGAGAGTATATCTGATGATATATCGGCTTATCTTAAGATTCTATACACAGCCCATAACATAAATAAAACATTTTGATATGGTTCTTCTTTATAAATAATTGTGACCTGATAACAATGATAAACCTAACAAAAAATCTAGTCAAAAAAGGGAAATGGGGTGGTGATGGTGCCCTAAAACCCCCAAAAAGTAGGAAAGTTGTTTCCCATGATACTTTTGTTTAACATATTGCCAGCGGTATACCACTCAAAATCGTCTTTAAAAAAAAACATCATAAGAGCAGTTCCCATGCTCCTTATTGCATGCTGTGAGATGGCTTCCTGGCTATTCTATGCTACTGTGTCCAGAAAACAGTTATAAAACTGGAGCAGATAGTTGCCATATCCCCTTTAAGAACAATTAATTTTTAAAAGTGGATTGAGAAAAAACACATTTTCTTTCTCAATCAACTTGAAAGTGTGACAATGTCCTAAAAACATCAGGGTGACCTCTGACACCACAAATGGTTCTACACAAATTCTTTCTACAGCTGGTAAATAAGACGTCATCTCTGGTCAGTGTTATGAAGCTGTGAGTGATGAACACTCACAAAGGCATACACTAACACAAGAAAAATGCTCACAATTAGGCAGTGAACTAAGATTTTTACTTCCTCCTCATCAAATTGGACACTATTCTGTTATGAATGTGAGAACGCCCTGAAACAAATCCTGCCTTTGTGGCCAGATCCTAGTTTTATTGCTTTCAGAAAAAACACCCTTCATTGGACCTGTGGTTTGTGCGAAAACATCCCTCCTCTCAAGTTGCGGGTACTGTAATTCAAACATCAATAACAGAGATATCCACAAGGAAAGCTTGATACATAATGGCAAAGTGTGCTAGGGAGGTTATTTGCTTTTGCATCAGCACTGTTGTGGGCTACAAGTTTTTCCAGGCGCACAACAAATAAGCAGAGAGAAACACACACGAAACTGTGACAATTCAATGCCAGTGTGAGAAATGAATGGAGAAGCAAGAGACATGTTGTCCTCAAGAGGTGTGCAAGTAGCATGACCGGGAAAGTGTATGAGTGATCAGCCAGTGTAGGGTGGTAAACATTCACAGTTAGTTCCTTCAAATAACCACTCTAACGCTTCATTATGCACATTTGACAACCCTCTGTGAACACTTGTGAAAATCTGCAAGAATGGGATCATACTCTGAGGTATTCTTGCCAAACCAAACAAAAGCCTCCTATCTGCTAACTCATGGTAATGTTACTCTTACTGTAAAGGACTGCGAGTTAAGTGAGCTAAGAGAAGTCACACGCCGTTTCAGGTTCAGAAAACTTGTTTGTTGAAGTGCACAGGAGATGAGGCCTACACATGGCTGTCACTGCGCCCGACTGTGCACATGAAATAGCGTCCAGGGAAAAAGCTGGCACTTTTTGTGTCAACGGGTTACTTTATTACGGTGTAACAAATAGGATATAAAGTGCACTTACGTAACGTCTCAACTTTTTTTCAGGAGGAGACTTTCTTAGCCACCCTGAGCACACCACATCTCCCCCACTCATATCTGCTCCTTTCTAGCTCTCCCTGGAGTTTGAGCGGAGATTTCTGTTCGCCTTCGTTTGTTTTGGGGAGTGTCTTCTTGTACCTGGAAAGAACAAAAAACGTTGACACAAAGCCCAAATGGTGAAGATGGAATATTAAAAGTTAAAATGTTGTATTATTGAGAGCGATAAATACAGTCACTCCTTCTTCGAAAGTCGACTCACCGACCGACAAGGCAGTTCTCTGAAATGCCCAGACCAGATTTTCCACGAGTTGTAGTCAAATAAACGGGTATATCCTGAGCTTGGAGTTCATATAAACCTCCGCGGCACCGCCTTTTGTACAAATATCAACGGTGACTTGTGTGTTTTGTTCAAACTGGAACGCCGTGAGCACAAAAAACAGGCGCAGGCAACTGAAAGTCGCTAAGTTTATGTTGTTATATGTAACGCTTCATGCTAATTCCCGTCAAAGTGGAGCGATTCCCAGTTGGCGAGACCAGATGTAAATATCCCACAGTGTACCGGTGCATTGTTGTCGTTTCTGCGCAAATTAAAACAATCTTCACCGTAAACACAGTGTTTCCGCCGATCTTCCCTACCAGTTTACTCCCATGGTTTCTTAATTATGATTGACAGGGTGGCTCCGTCTTTCCCTCAACTCACCCTCCTCTGGAACATCGCGGCGTCAAGCTAACAGACGTAACGGACACAGACCGGATGTTTAGAGATTGTGCTTTCAAAATAAATGTTCGGTTTGTGCGGAACGTTACATTTGGGCTTTCGTATAGTTTATCTCCCGTGCCAATGTTAATGGCTGAAACGGACATGCTAAATTAAGTTGTGTGTACACTTGCAATTTCAGATTTTGTTGTTGAATATTTTTAAAAGAATATATAGAGTATTTTATGTGTGGATTGTACCATCTTCCCTCAAAGTAATATTCACGTTTACGACACACAACACGTGCCTTTTACAGGTTGCGAAATTTATTTTGAAGGTTACAACCGGGTGTTCCATTCGTGTAGCTCTGCTCGCTTTAAAACTAGTTTTGGAGGACGAAATGGGGAGGCGGCGGCGTGCAGGGAAAATTGTAGAGCTTCAACCATGGGACATGTAGTTCAACAATCGTTTGTGTTCCGTCCCAAAAAACAACAAATGACTGCAGGGAGGCTGATTGATTAAACATGATGTAATAGAGCTATATGCACCCCTGGATGGATACAAAAAGTGCCCCCAGACAATTGAGGAAAAGACAATGAAACGACCCACCACCTCAGTGTGAACCGAAAGGTCCCAATATATCGTTTCACGTCTAAACAACACTGTCCATAATGCGTGTTTATTCCCTAAAGAAAACTCGCCATAAAAACCATGTAATGTTAGTAGGACAGAAAAAGGACAGTGAACTCATTGACCTATAAGGTGTACTATTTTGGCATTTATCTCTGGCATCATTAGAAATTCATTTTTATTCATTTATTACAGTTTCAAATATTTTGTGCCTCTTCACTTGTTAACATGGCCTTGAAACAAAAAACCTATATCAAGATAAGGCTATATATACCAAAGTCACCAAATAATTATTTATTTGAAGTGCATACTAAGATAGATCGGTGGTTTACCATATCTGATCAATATACTGGACTCAACAGAGCATCTAAACAGGTCTAATCCACTGGCAAGGATGTGTTTCCCATGGACTTAACATGGTATTTGAGGAATCTTAATGGAATGCTATTGTAATGGTAAACATTTCCCCCAAAGGATGTTCCCTGTTGGTCTATGATTAATGACTTTGCCATTTTACAGGCACATTACCTCTTTCAACAGCCTCCGTATTGATGGAGAAATAGTGAGCAATTAAAGGCTGTAGACACAACACGCCAATTCCTGTTAATGAATTCTTTTGATGCTATATATTTAGCACTACAGTCTGAGTGTTACAACATCAAACACCTTGTGTGCCATGTTGTTGCCGTGACGCATCAGGGTTCATTTAATTGGTATGTCTTAGTGGCATAGCGTGTCTGTGAAGCAGTGTCTTTAATGTTGTCTTTTGTTGCTGTGCTTTACAGGTGCATGCATCTGTAGTTTATGTGGGCCCCACAGCATCCACGTGTTCAACTAAACATACCACAGTGGATAACTCATTTGTACCCACACTAGATGAACAGACCAGATCTAATTTACTGTCACTGCATGCCAAATGAATACATGTATATACTGTATGCAACTGTAAAAACCTAAAACATATATAAAGATTATTTATTATCAAATATTATGAACACCCACTATGAAATTTACAGAGAAGAGATAATAGCATGCCATTCCCAAGAGTTGACATTTCAACAAAAGTGAGGAGAAAAGTGTAATGGTTTGGTTGATTAATAATTGAGAATCATTGAGTTTTCTTTCTAAATGCCCTCTGAAAGCTTTTTACTACTGCAGTGTTTTTACCTTACAAATTGCTAATTAGCAATAAATGGCAACTTTGGAAATAATGCTATTACATTTTATGCCATGTGTCCCATGACTGTGGGAGTATGTGACTAAATGTGATTTCCCAGTTCCTTATTGGATGACTGCTGTGTCTATACAGAGTGGTATTTTTGCAAAAATATTTTGCAATCAAAGCAAAAAATGGCATGATACATGTGCTTGTTTTGATGAATTATGCAACAATGTCCAGTTCTGTATTTTTTTTTAATCAACAAAGTCACTTGGGTACTAAAGACTTTTTGAGAAGGATGCTTAAGGTTTGCAGTATCAATAACATTAAGCATTTTTCTTTCCAAGCCTTTAATTGAAATAAAAGAAATTATAATTTGCAGCTCAAAATCCAGATTACCACACTGTATATACTGCAAGACAGAATATAAATGATGTAAGGTAGGTGATCTATTCAAGTCAAGATATATGAAGATATAGTACTGGAGATGGCTGCAAGTGGTGAATGCATTCTCTGCAGTGGAAAGGTGATGCAGACATTGAGGTATGCTTGAGCATAACAACAACACTCATAACTTTGGTGTTTGGCTCATTTCCACAGAAACTGATTTAAAGTTTCCAGAAACCATTTGCTTCATCCTGCCATCATGAATTGAGTTCATCTTAGCTTTTATTTAAAAAAAAAAAAATTATATCATCATGTATTAACCATTGCATTTAGAGTTTAGCCCCCAACATCTAGCCACCTCTTTGCCAACATACCACTTTAAATAACTTTACCATACACAACTTGCCTAGTTAAGGAAGACAATACAGCCAAATACTGATTTGTTCTTACTGTAGGGAAAGGTGAAGCCTTTATGGACATTACCACACTACAGATGAAGTTGTATGTCCTGACAAATTCCTCTTCAAGAATCTGCATTAAATATCAAAAGGCACATAAAATCAGCATGAACACAAAGGTCTCCCTGAATGACCGAATCTGAGGAATACATTAAAATATGCCATCAAACAGTTAACTGCTGTCAAATGTGTTTAAACAAGCAGTCTGCAGTTTAGCTCTTTTTAGATCACACTACCTAGTAATGGGAGAACAGCATTAAATACTCATACTGAAAATGCCTTTACCTTGGAAATTTCCCACAAATAGTTTTACATTTTCCACATATAGTTTTGTATTCCATGGTTGTTCAGAATGATAGTTTAAATCATATGTACATTTATTGCATGAGATATGAAACCTATAAAACCACCAAAGCACACACCAAAAAGGGTTCAAATATCTTGAAAATCAAACGCCACAGCTCGTGAAGAAAAGCTGCATGCAAATCAGAAGAGTAAACAAAGGTCGAGCTGTGTTCAGAACTATGTCAAATCAAAAAAGAGTTTACTTTTCACTTGAATGTTTTCTTCTGTATTGTGCATTGCACATGCATGTATTTGGATATGTTTGCGTGTGAGGTAACATTATAAACACTCCGACTAGCCAGATAATATGAACATGTTCTAAACGGAACCAGTTTGACATATTTATCATTTATTAGGAGACTAATGCTTAATGAAGTTACTTCTATAATGTCAAATTTTATTTAGCCATTTCAATTAAAGGGAGAAAGTACATTTTGCACCAATGTGTATTATCTACCTCAAGTTCTGAAATTTGGAGGATTAATAAAAGATTACAACGCTTGATATCACAAAAAATAATCAAAATAAATAAAAATGATTAAATAATGACTGAAACAGTGGTATAAAAACTATTTTAGTCAAAACTTCAAGACTTTTAACTAAATCACATCTAAGATCAGAATCAGTGCAGATGCTCTGTGTGTGTGTGTGTGTGTGTGTGTGTGTGTGTGTGTGTGTGTGTGTGTGTGTGTGTATCATTTCAGTGCTCTTTTTATTAGGTTATATGCACATCTATGGTGTGACAGTTCAGACTCCCGTATGATCAGTTCAGAACTCCCCTAGCGCCAGTTCATCTGGGTTTCAGAAGACCAGTCTACTAATGGTATTGAAGCCTCCTCCCCCTCCTCCTCCTCCTCCGCCAGATGGGCCGCAGCTCCCTGGTGGGTTATTGTCATCTGAACCGTTAGGCCTGAATGAGCAGGAGGATGAAGGGGCCTGGAGAGCCTGGGTCCGAGCATTGAGCTCCTGTTCCTATTGACAGCATAGAGGAAAGAGAATTTTTTCCATGTTAGATAATTTTTCATTTTAAAACAGAACCTAAACATATAACTAAGCTATGCTATGCCAAAGAGTTAATTTAGCATTGCTGTAGTCCCATGTGACTGACAGCGTATCAGTGTTTTCACTTAACATTATTACAGCACCCTCTAGAGGTGATTTACTTTAGTCACTTAAACAAGTGCGCTGGAACATCAAACACAGCACAGTTCAATGACTCGTGAAATTACACCTCCCGTCTTATAACAGGACAGTTCAGATTTGGCTTCAAGTTCAGTCAAAAAAATAAAAAATAAAAATCCTATATTCTGCAGGCTCTTGGGTATCTGTAAAAGTACGGTCTGTTTTCCCTCAGCTTCTTTCCACCTGAGAGAATCTTGTACAGTTCTCAGCTTTCATAATAACCTCACACTTAGCGGGGTTAGTGGTAATGGTGTTATGCGTCAAATGCATGTAAAGCATTAACAATAAGCAGTATGTCAGTCAAATATCTAATGAACCTCTTAGCAGCAGATTAAACACTCGCTCTAATGCTTAATCACTTCGCATTTGGTGTGAATTTATTGGAATAATTTATAGGCCCTGATGGTTTAAATTGGTCACATAATGTCTGAATGTGCAGAAGTATGTTTTTTTTTTTCACCCCCACATACCTGTAAATACAGCTTGTTGTCCTTGATAATAGCATCCAGTAGTTCTTTCTGCAGAGGAGGCTCAGCACTCAGTCTCATTCCATTTGCCATTAGTCCCCCATTTACACTCTGCCCTGGTAGCTCCTGTTTCCTGTACATGAGCACATATGCAGTGTCCTTGGGGAATCGATTAGTAATGTTTTGCACTGATTGGAAGGACGAGAATGTCACTCTGCTGTCGTTGAACAGCAGCCAATCCCTTGCCTCCTGGCCACTATTAGGTAGTGTGTCTCCTCGTTCAGGTGAAATTGAGAGAGCTGAGCAGGTGGAGAGGCTACACTCAGCATGGCCATTCCCCAAATCCTCCTTGAGGGCATAGTGATTGGCTGGATGCTGTGTTCCATCTGCTCCATTAATGTTACGACCATAGGAATAGTAGTGGCCACTCTCAGACGATATACCAGAATGCATCACCACTGAGCTGAGGACATAGGGCACCGACTGTACTGACATCTCTCCTCCTCTGTTGATCTGCTCTGCTCCATTTAGCCTCTCCTCGTCCTCCTCGTCTTTCTGAGACGGTTTGAGCTTCTTGGCCAAATTCTCACTGCTCTCAGGAGAATCCACTTGCAGAGGGGAAGAGGTAGAAGAGGAACATTGTGCAGGCATTGAAGCGACATGCACAGGAAGTCTCATGAGTGGCGGGATAGTGACATTGTCCAGAATCTTCCTCCGAACATGGCATTTGGCATCATAGGAGAATCTCAGCAGGGTGAGGATTAAGTATTCAGGTGCTGAGACCACTTTCATGGTCCTCTCTGCCCGCTGGAGGGAGCTACACTTCTCACAGTAATAGGCATTCTCTTCGTCCAGGATCTCTGGAGCCAGGAAATAGTTCACCAGGTCAGGCACAGAGAGAGGAGGCTCATTTGTCACTGGCACAAAATGAACATTGCTAGCCGGGGCTTTGGCCAAGCTTGGCTCAGGAGTTTCACTGCCGCCGTTGACCGATCCCTGACAGAGGACCTTGGGCTCCTCTGAGGGCCCCTCAGGTTGGCTGACAGAAGGACAGAAGGCCAAAGAGAGGTCTGTAAAACGCTCCTCTTTCTCAGAGATGCAGTTACACTGCATACAGCGAATACCTGTGATCAGCTTCCCACCAAACATCGTTTCTATCAACGTCCTTCCGTCAGCCCCAGGTTTGGTTTCTGCTGGAGTCAAAGATGACTCTTCTCCCTCCTCTGGACAAATCTGACCTTTTGGGTCTTTGCTGCTTGTATCAATGGGGGAGGCAACCTTTGGCTTAGCTGATTCCAGGACCTGAAGTGTTTTCTCTTCTTCATGTAACCTTGAGATCAGCAGACGGAGACAGTCAACATTAGAGGAGAAATAGATTTTAATAGCTTTGAATTTGTGCCACTGCTGTGTGTGTCTCATGTCTATTCTTTCTAAACAACATTCACATAATTTAGTTCTAAAGAAAGTACAGTTTACTGTACCATCTGCCCCAGTCATGCTATACTCAATACTCACAATGCTTTATATGTATTGTGTTCTTTCTAGCTTTATTTTATTTATGACACTTTATTAACATTTATTCCATTTTGCATTCAGTGACATACAAATAACACAGTAACGTTGTATTATTTGATGCCTGATTTTTATTATTTGTTATTGGTCGTCGGGGGATAATAAAGGAAAGCAATTCCGTATTTCAATTTAACACTGTTAGATTATATAGCAAGACAGGCTGTTTGGGGCCCTAGCCATTAAGGGGCTCGGACTCAGCCAAGTAGTCTTTCCTAATTTAGGGGTAAGAAGTAGATGGGGCATGATGATGATTTAGAATCCAGACCAAATCAGGTGCTGCGGTGAAAACGCAGGGGCTCCCAATCATTTTAGTTGGCTTAGGCTGCGGCAGTGGGGGCCAGAGGGGATATTAAAAATAAATAAATAAATAAAAAACAGAAAAAAGGCAGCGACCTTGCAGTGGAAAAGTTGAAATAGAATCAACTTTTGGAGAAATGCAACACAACATCATGCTGCGTTGGCCAATCTGGCTACAGTGAGCCTGAAATATCACTGAAACTAGGAGCTATTCTCCCAGTTAGGTCCTCACTATGTTTATTTGCTGTACCCTTCGATGCAAAGCTTCGATGTCTGTGTCTGACTTGCAGTCGATGCTGAACATTTGCGATACCAAGAGGCGTCCTTTGGTTAATTTGTTTGAGAGACAGACCTGATTTAGTCTAAATTCAGCCTAGTTTGTATGCTTAGGTCTATATTGCTACTCCATTCACAGTTGATCCACCGCTTGCATGTGCATGTGTTCGTCCAGAGAAAGGTAAGTTATGATGTTTCCTTATGATTGATTTGATCCCACACTGGGAAAATACATGACATTTACCTGAGTCACATTTCTACTGCACTGTTAATGATTCTGTAATTACAGTAAATGAATAGTAGTAAAAATGCGTCATCTATGTAAGAGTGCATTTCACAACGTTAACTCTGAAGGCTTGACCTCCCAATTAGATCACAGAATCTAATGGGGCCATACCTCCGGCCCAGATCAGTCCATTTATTTTATGCTCATACAGTACTTACCGTCTGTAATTTATGTGTATAATGTTGCCAATGAGGCCTAGGTTACAAGAGCCCACTGGATCTAGGACACTGTCAGTTTCATGTTAGTTTGGTAGCTTGTGTGTTGTAGCCAAGCTGCAGACTATTGGATGTCTGAGAGCAGCCAGCCTGTAATCACTGAGGCTCCGCAACAGTCACACTAACCTGACACAATCCTATTATTACTGTTGATTCATCCAATCTGCTTGGAGTGCGACTTTACCTGTCTAGAAGGAATCTGAGGTACTCAGAGCAGTCCTGCTGAGAGCCGGCATTGAACCAGGGCGGCCGAGACGCGTCCAAGAAGTTTCTGGGAGCATATGCTGCCCTCTGCAGGAAACAGACATGCACCACACACAGATAGCAATCAAGTGCTGTTGTCATCAGTATACTAATAATATTCAATAGTCTATTACACAGGACAACACTAACCTGAGTGTGTGCAAGGAAAGCAAAGAGCAGCTGGAGCTTTTTCATTAATGTGTTGGAACCATTTAGATGTAATGATAAAACATGCCGTCTGAAACTGAAAAACAAACAGCAAAGTTAACTACACTCAGACCGTCCATGTTTATTCCTTAAGTTTCAGTATACAAATATATTTTAAAAAATATAAAGATATTTTTTAAAAGTGTGTATGTGTTTGCATACACAACTCACTCTGTGGCCATAAAGAGGGTCTGAATGATGCTGTTCATGTAGCACGTGTTCCCCAGGTTGACCAGGCCAGTCTTGCCCGTTTCAGACTTCCCAACTTGCCTCTGAAGACCTGAGGCAAATGAGTTGGACTGGGATGTCCAGGCACTTTGATTCAACACCAACTTGATCTTCTCTTCTCCAGGTTTTGGGAGATCCTGAGAAGACATCTTGAAATGATTAGATACAGAACCCATCTAAGAAGTTTACATGCAGAATAAAAGCTCTTCAAGCGATTTCTTATGTAATGTAAAAACAACTTACTTCTGGTGTAAGAGGTGATAAACGGTTTCTTAAATACCTATATTTATATAAAACCAGTATAAGGTGTTGTCCACTCTTTTACCTTGATGGCCTCTAGTATGTGGTCATAGAGGTCAGGGAAGCCAGAGTATTGGTACATCATGCAGTGTATGAGCTCAGTGAACTGCAGCAAAAAAGCTTTACTGGTGGGGAGACCATCTGTCCTCAAAGACTGGACTAGATGCACCACATGTGGAACAACCTGGAACAGTGAGGAACACAGACACGAGAATAATGTTGAGGACACAGATGTGCTGGAAATCCTGGAAGGTACTGCTAATATTAATCATACAAATTTGCAGCACAGTCAAGCTAGAGCATAGCTGCATATGAGGAACCCTGCAGAGGGTATTTTTGAGACTATTCACGTTTTTAGATACAAATGAAATTGGCTAACTTAAGTGCCATTTCTCAGCATTTAAGGGTTTCACACATCATTAGTGGGAGAGCAATGCCAAGCCTGGGGTTCTGGGAAAAAAAAGTCTGCGCAGCTTTGAAGTAGTTTTAGCCAAAAAAGAAGAAAATGAGAAAAACAACAAAGTGGCCATATGAGAGGGAAATGGGCTGTGAGGAGACAGGAGATTCCTTACCAAATGGAAGGCCTCAGGAGAGTGCTGGAAACTCAGCAGCATATGGGAAAGCACAGCTAGCGCCCCCTGCCGCACAATGGGGTACCACAGACGACTGAATACCTATAGGTTAAAAAAAAAAAATACATCTTTAAGCCATATATACATTTATGTAAAATGGGGAATAGCTTAATTATCACTGCAGCTTAACATCTGTATAGCATTAAAACATACATACAAGTCTTCCTGACATCCATAATAAAGTTCTCACTACAAACCAGTTCAATTTTAAGCAGAGTGACGTCTATGAGGATAGTGAACTTCTGAACTGCAGCAAGTCCTTTCAGTAAAGCAATGACCCAGGTATCGACATGTTGGGCCAGAGGCCAAGAAAGCCAATCAATCATCCTAGATAGAGAGAAGAAGAGTATGTGGGGTTAAAATAATGCGTATAAATGCAGTAACATTATGATAACACACAGACTGCTCCACAATATATCAAAAAGTGTCGAGAAAAACTGCGCAATTCACGTACAACATGTGTATCATAAATTGTATACATAACAAATCATTTAAAATAACACATTGCGAAAGCCAATCAACTCGGATGACTAGATGTGTGAGGTTACCTGCAGAGCGCTTTAGTCATGTTTGCGTCTTTGACATTGTGGTCTGTGGTGAGACTCTTGATAAGCACCGTGATCATCTGGACGGGGATGTGCTGCACCAGGCTGGCCAGAGCAATGGATGGGTCAAATGAGGGGTCTGCAAAATTAAATCAGAGTAAATACACAGAAGAAGATAAAAAACATATTATCATGAGCATCCTGTTGCAGCTGTTTACATTAACCCCAGGCCTGGGTTAGAAGTGCATGTATTTAATCTGTTAAGTTCTGTTTGTGTAACATGAAGGGACTCATTCTACATCCTTGTGTTGTAAATTTTTGTCAACATTTGGAGCACCATATAATGCAGTGCAACATGACCATCACAAACAAAGGCCTCCCAAATTAGACAACACTGTCAATTTAAAAGCTTCACAAAAGCCTGTATTTATTGCAAGCTGTTCGGTTACATTCTGTTTGTCCTGTTGTTTTGTCCATCTTATGGCAAAGGCACTTTGCATGTGCGGTATGTGCAAATCAAGTTTATAGCTCCCGAACCAGTTTTGATACTCAATATATTCTGTAATATTGAGTATCTGCTGAATTTGAGTAAATACATGAGTACAACATTTATTTCTTTATCCATTTATATCATAACTACATTGCTTTATTAGCTAAATATATCATGAATAACAGCTTTCCTTTGATGGTTTCCTTTTATATTGTGTATATTGTCCTAGTGTTTGGGTAATATCTATTAAGAGGAGTGTGTGTGGATCTGTGGATTTTGAAAGCATCTTCTCAAGCATGAACATTTAGGAAAAAGTTAAAACAGCAGCACTTTACAAGCACAGTTTACCTGAAAAAGTCAGTTTGACCTTTTAAACCAAAGTGCCTCTGCTCGCATCGCTCACTGACGCATGCTGTCACTGTGTTTATTCAATTGAAACTGCTGTGTGCTGTTTGTTTATTTTGTGCAGCTCCACAATTCAGTCACTCGCAACACTACACAGTAGGCTCAGGACATCCCTAAAATTTACCATCAACAAAAGGACTGAAGCTTTGACTTCAGCAGAAATGTTCTGCTCTCAACTACATCTTCACAAAATTTTTTTTTCAGTATTTGCCCTTGAGGAAAATGCACTCTGTGAATCATTGGATTTGAAGGGAACTGCTCCAAATACTGACAACTGTGTAAAATGATGCCACTACCTCCAACATGAAAATGATCACTGTGCCAATAACACAGAATATAGTTGGATGAACAGCCATACAAATGAGAGCAGTAAGCCAAGGGATCAAAGTGAAAAACCAAAATGAAACAAGGTAACAGTTCTCCCATGCTCAATAATGCGCTAAAAAAAAAACTGGTATTAATGCCAGAGATTTAAATACCAAATTCAAATTATATTCCAAATTCAAATATACTGTTATCATTACTGGCAGTATTTTAAGCTTCTTTAGGACATCTATTACAAATCCAAGTGTCCAAAAACTCACCCTATAGAAAAACAAAAGTAGTTTTTGCCCAAGAATGAAGTAAGATGCTTATTCTTATTCCTCTAAACTGCAGTCCCATGTATTATAACTATTTTAGAAGCAAGGCACAAGTCTCACCTGTGGAAGAGATAATGGCAAAGACTTCCTGTAGTGAGGGAAGCAGTGTGGCCGGGTCCGCCTTCCAGATGTTTTGCAGTAGTGTGCTAACCTTGGTCACCTGACCTACATACTCTCTCAGCTCCCGCTCTTGGCTGGCAAAGCAGTGGAAGTAACTGATGGTCCTCACCAGCTGCTGGCAGAACAAGACGCCCGACTTATCCCTCGGGATGCACTGCACAAAGTCTGACAGCAAAGTGTTCAGGCGGGCACAGAGAGCCGGCTCTGGACGTTCACACACCATCCTTAAAACCTCCACCTGGATCACGCTGAAGATCTCCAGCACAGATGGGCAGCTGATGAGCAGCCGCAGGCAGCAGTGAATGTAGTCTATAATGGCTGGGTCTTTGCGGTCCAGATGGAAATAGCCCTGCTGGAGAAGACTGAGGACAAAGTCTTTACTGAAGAAGTGCTCAAACTCTGGGCGGTGGTAACGTGCGTAGGCATCCAAAACCTGGAAGCCGATCTGCTTCTGAAAGGCATCTTCGCCGAGCAAGATGAGGCGGGTGGTAAGAGTAAACAGCGATTGACACTGCTCTTCAGTCACTTCCTTCTCCGCGGCTTCTACTACCTTCTTCACAATGGCCCTCTTCACTGGAATTGAGTGATCGGAGCTCACGAGGCCCTCCAAAATCTTGTCCATGATGACGGTCTGTAGATGGTTAAAAGAAAAGAAAAAAAGGAAGGTCACACCTACATCTGCAATCATACTAAATGGTAAAATAATGTTTGTATTTTTGTTTTACTTAATTAAAAGAAGAAAAGCAAAATAATAAATTGCAAAAATAAATAACAATAATAATAATAATTCATTTTGTTGCAGGGTCCTAGTATTGTATAAGCTGGTTCACTGTCACATTGGGATACTTGAACACAATAGAGCTATAATTAATGTTATTTTAAACACCTGTGCTTTTCCTACTCTGGTTGTTGTAAGCCCAGTGGTGCATAAAGTCTTTTCTACCCCAACCATCGGAGTCAACACATTAAAGTGACTCCCAGTGACACCCTTTGTTTTTAACAAGAAACTACAGTCTCACTTAAGGACAATTCTTGCTCTGAGAGGCGAGTTGTTGCAGGACACGCCAGTGGAAACAAGAGAGAGGAGTTTGTTGTGTACATGCATATTTCAGCGCAAGAATTGTCCTTGAGCGAGATTTCTGTTTCCTGTTAAAAACAAAGGGTGTCACGGAGAGACACTCGTAGGGATCCTTTCCAGTATGAGCCTGTCAGAGTCAAAAAGAAGAAGTTTTTGTGGACGTATTTTTGACAGGCACAATTGTCACCGAAGGAATACGTTGCAGCCACTGCAGCCTGTTTACAGCTCACGGATCTACTGCACCAATTCCAAAACTTTTTGGACTAGTAAATACTAACTAGTCATTCAACACCAAAATATGCGAAAATAGGGCCCAGGTTTAAACGTACTGATGTTATCCTTTAATGTGCTGCAACTGGAATGTAAACTAGAATGTACACTTAATTTTAACTATTGAGGCAAAAAATGTGCTTTACACCATTTGACATTACACAAATATTATATATATAATATAATATTTTTTTTTTTACAGCTATGCAGTAAAGCAGACAGGATAAAATGCTTTGACTACTGAATTTAAACTGGGAACTAATTAGAACTACTTATTTTTGTTTATTATTTTATTGATAAATCAATGTGACCAAAAAATGTCAGAAAATAGTGGAAAATACACAACAAGCTTAAAGTAATGTCTTCAAATTGTTGATTCAATCTAACTAGCAGTCCACAACCCAAATAAAAGACAATACAGAAGAGCAGCAAATCCTGAACATTTTTTTTCTTGAAACACAATTAACTAAATTATTTTATAAATTGTTGTAGATTCATTTTCTGTTGATAAATCGACTAATGTTTTCAGTATTAATTTAAATGCATTAATGGAAAACTGTAAAGCAGGATATGCTGTTTATGACACAGAAATAACTTTAGAGAAAATATTTCCCTAAATATTAGAGATGTGAACAGGTCTAAACCAGAGTAAAGGTGATTTCAGTGCATCTGTCACAGAATTGTTGTCTCACTTTTGGCAATCCGTTTATTATTATTTCCTCAGTGCAACATACTGATTCGTCCATTTGTCATCTGCCGTAACAACAGCAAAGCATGACTATGTTACACGTATTTAATAGCACTACATGGGATTTTCTCCCCTCTTATCTCACCACATCACGAGAACAGCGACCAGCCGCTGCAGTGCTTGTTCTGTGGATACCTGGCTAGCTTGCTAACGCTAGCTCTAACGTTAACTTTAACGGATAAATGTACACGTCCGACATTTACAACATATCTCTTGTGCTAAATACAGCTAAACCGCTTGAGCCACATCTCCAGCTCCATAGCAACAGTTGTAACTAACATTCATAAACAACGAAAAAACGAACAAAGCAACCAAACAGGCCTGACGTTAGCTGAGTAACGTTAGGTTCCACTGACTTAGCATAAATACCGCCCCTGTAACAGTGCGATAATATGCTTTACGGTCTGTGCTTACCCAAATAAAGCATGTCAACCGTGTCCGACCAGAAAATCGTCAATTGTCTGTAGATGTTGAACGTCTTTTAACAGGTAAAACCGTGTTATTTTGGTTCATTTGATCGCTCAGAATCAGCTGATTAACACTTCACCGACGTCATTCCTATGGACAGAGATGTTGGTAGGACCCTTGTGTGAAGCAATTGTCGTCTATAAATTGCCTGTTGCGCAGCTGTTGAATTTTGAGTAATGAAAGCAGCTGTTCTCCGTGAACGATCTTTTTGAACGTTTTAGACGACAATTTTCAAATGTAGTCGAATTCTAATTAAGAAATGTGGGCACTCCTGAGCCGTTTCTGTCCATTTTGTGTGCTGCATTCAAATACTCCTCGTCCATATCATCTGGAGGCCTCGGATGAAGTTGGTTTTTGGCTGAAAATTAATGTCCTGGTAAAAGAGATTCTATCTTTTCCTTAAACGCATTAATGACAATTGTGTATTTTCTTTTCTTTTTAAATTGCAAAGCCAATGGTGCAGAGACACAGTAAAGTATAAAGTAGGCCCACGTGTTTAGTATGAAATATTATTCAAATAAATTAAACAACTACAATAATATGATGTGGTATACATCTTTATTGTGTATAACACATTCAGCATGTGAAAGAAAGAATGGATGAAAGTGTGCAGTGTGGACATGGTATGTTGTACAGCAGGACAAATAACCAAAAAAGGAGATTCTTTTTCCAAGTTTATTTCATTTTATTAACTGCAAAGATGATTTAAATCAGCCTCTCGGTCACAGATTTGGACTTGCCATCATAATCACTTTAGGGACAACGCCCCCCAAAAGGCTTTTACAGAATAGGTAGAAAGGATTATTACTATTTAAATTTCTAAAAACTATAAAAACTAAAAACGTTATTGTGGACTAAACTCTTGTAATCACTGGGGTACAAATAGGGAATCACTCCCTGTGGAAAATAATTAATATACATATCGCAGCAGTTTATTTTGGATGCACAGGAAACACAACTTTAAAATGTTTACATACATACATTTTACCCAAATTAACTATACAGTAAAGTATAATATGTAAATACTAACAATGTCACTTTTTAAACAAAGCCCAAATTCAGACTTTAAACTAGTGAAATAATTATCTTCCTGGCAAATGTAACAAACTCAATCAATAGAGCACATTTATTGTGCAAGAATAGGAGAAAGAATTTGGTTCTTGCATGCAATAAAATGATCTCCACAGTGAAATAATTAAGTAATTTTAGGATTTATGCACTGATATTTTTTACTTTTAGACTGATTATGTGGTATGGTTTAATGTGGTCCAGCAAGCATCCCACCAAGGATTTGGAACTGGTTTTGACATACTTGACAATTTGTGTTATTGCTGCATTTTCCACTGATGTTATTATTTACTTGCTGTAGGTTGCGCTATAAAAATGGTTTCATTCAGACAAATTGACTAACTACACATACTGGTAGCAAAAAGCCAACGCTAATCACAATCAACTGAACAAACTGAAGAAAAAAACAAAAACAAAACCCCGCTATTTTAACCTAATTACGAAACTGTCAGTGAATCCAGCATGACAAAGTCTCGCGATAGAGCGCAGTGAACGCGGGTGCTCGAGAAAAATCTTCCTAGCGCGAACGTGCTGCTTGTGACCAACCGGTGTGTCTTTCATTATAAACAACAGGATAGTTGTCATTTCACGAGAGAAAGTTCGGAAAATCTTAAACGGCTCTTGTACGGGATCACACAAGGCACCAAAACAACGGACGATATATCCGGATTGAGGAAGAAATTCGACAAAAATGTCCGAAAGCGCAAACTGCGAGGAACAGCGGGAAGAGCAGACTGAACTTGAAGAAGCCGGAGGAGCGGAGGTAATGTTAATGTTAAGATGGGTTTAAATGGGTTTTGTCTCCTCTCAGCACCACATACATCTTTCACAAACCTGCCACACAAGTGTCAGGCTCTGAAAACCACCACCTTTTACCTACATGTCCCTCATATTCACGTTAAACTTTCACTTTGTCAATGTTAATGCGGGCTGTTTGAGCTAGTTAGCTAGCCGCGGCGGCGCTATCATTAGCTCACGACAACAGCAGCTCGGTCCCATTCACTCGGGACTGAAGCTAGCGTTACAGCACAGAGCAGCAACAAGGCCAGCCGGGCTCATAAGCGCTCATACGACTAGCTTAGCCCCGCTAGCCAACCACCAAGTCCCAGCGTGCTTTTTGTTTACTCCCAGGCCAGATTCGCTCGGTGAGTTACTTGTAACTGTGACCGGTTTTTGATAAACCTCGTGGAAACTGGTAAAGAACAGCACCCCGCTCAGCTGTCCCGTCCGCGTCTTTGTTTTCAGTGGGACAGCGGCTTTTGTATGCGACGATGGATGCTGCTGTAGCGCTGCCTGCCTGCAACATCGATTCGCCTGCTCGCTGTTTCGATTTTTGATTTAAAATCCTAAAAAATGAAAGGGGGTTTTCATGTGTGCAGCCCAACAGTTACAATAACATCAAATGAAATAAACGTTATTGATCCCACCTAGGTAAAACAGCAGCAGAAGTACAAAAACGGATGCCTAGTTTAAATAAGTAACCTTAAAAAGCTACAGTACTGCTTTATGATCACATACTTTACATAGAAAAAGTATTAAAATAACAAATAGGCTACTAAATACTGTACATGATAATAGTAACATAACATGGATTGCGACAGTAGTAGAAAGTAGTGATTAACAACAAATAAACAAAGAATGCATTTAAAATAAAAATTGCATTTGAGGGAATCAAATTGGGTGATGGGTGAAGTGTGTGTGGTCTCTGCCAAAAGCAGTGTTAGCCGCGTGAAATGCAGCAAAAACAGAGTGAAATGAGTACTGTGATTGACAGTGTTTTGGCTTTCAGCAACAGAGACAAAAGACTTTCAGTAGTGTTCCTTAACACTCAGCAAGGTGAACGAGCTAGCCAGCGTGTCTAAAGTTTGATGTAGCGGAGGTTGGGAGATGGCGTCCATGATAGCCAATAGTTATTCCATCATGTGAACCCTCTCCCATTTCCTCTGTATTGTCCAGAGAGCATCCCAGAACAGAGCTGGTGGACTGTTAGTCTGTTTCTATCTGCTGCTGTGGGGAAAAATCAAAGGATAGCCACTAAACAAGACTGATTTCTGTTTGCCTTTGTTTTCTCCTCAGGAGAAGTCTGATTCTTCAGATGCTGGAAAAGAGTCATCTTCAGATGCCGGGCCTGATGGACAAGATGCATCCCCCTCCTCATCCAGAAATAAAGATTCTAATCCGGGGTATGAAGAGAAAGTGGTAAGGACACTTTTTCTATAGCTTAAATTATCGGCTCGCTGCTCTGTTCTTGAATAAATAAGTTAACAAGACTGTCTTCCTGTGTATGTAGCAAACAGACCGGACCAACAGATTTGAATACCTGTTGAAGCAAACAGAGTTGTTTGCTCATTTCATCCAACCAGCCGCACAGAAGACCCCCACCTCGCCCCTGAAGATGAAGCCAGGACGCCCTCGCATTAAGAAAGATGAGAAACAGAACCTGCTTTCTGCGGGAGAGTGAGTCCATGTCCACACAAAGCAGATTTATTTCATTTTAGTAAAGTTTACTTCCATTGTGATTATGACATATTGTTTCCTTTCTGTGTTTGACAGCAATCGCCATCGGCGCACAGAGCAAGAGGAGGATGAAGAGCTTCTGAGCGAGAGCACGAAGACTACCAATGTCTGCACTCGCTTCGATGATTCTCCTTCCTGTAAGCAATTACCTGTTTTTAAGTAGGCTTGAGAGGAAGGCACGTGGCAACTATATCTGATGAGCAGAAGTGATGATTAAGGGTTTTTTATTGGTCTCTCATCTAGACGTCAAAACGGGAAAAATGAGAGACTATCAGGTCCGCGGTCTGAACTGGCTCATCTCCTTATATGAGAACGGCATCAACGGCATACTCGCTGATGAAATGGTCAGTACTTTCTCAGAGTCAAAACTGTTCCCTCTGCATTTTAAGAGGAGTGGGAAATGTTTTTGTGTTACAGTAGTGTTGTATTCACATGTACTGCTCCATCTCACACGCACTCTGCTGCCTCTCAGGGTTTGGGGAAGACTTTACAGACGATTTCCCTGCTGGGTTACATGAAGCACTACAGAAACATCCCTGGTCCCCACATGGTGCTGGTGCCCAAGTCCACCCTCTACAACTGGATGAATGAGTTCAAGAGATGGGTGCCTTCACTCCGTGCAGTCTGCCTGATCGGAGACAGAGATCAGAGGGTAGGCTGTGTCAGAATATTGCGACAAGCCAAATGTAACTGTAAATACTCAATGATATTTTACTCGGTAACACTTGCCATATGCTTGATTTTAATGTGCTTGTTTTACAATGGAAATTTAGTTTGGCCAAGCGTCTTAGCATAGTAGCCCTAGTTTTCACTTTGCAAGTCAGGTTTTTTGTGCAGAATCAGCATTTTTTATCACATCAGTGCAGTACGTTGACTGCCAATTTGGCTGATGACTGTAATAGTACACTTTGCTCTTTCAAAGTATACTATACTGGCAAGGATTTAATATTTCGAAGCGATGAAATTACTTCTGGTTTGGGTTTAATGATATGGACACAGGCCAGAATAACTGATGCAAGAGTTAGATAAATTCCATTTATTCTAAGTTACACCAGTTTGATTTTCAGCAATATTTAGATCATTTCATTTGTTTTCCTTCTGGGCTATAGTCAGTATTGGATGTATGTATCGTATATATCTCATCAAAACTGTGCATTTAAAATGGATTTCACTGACTGTACTGTATGTATGAAGGCAAGAGAGGGTGGTGGGGGGGACACTATAGTTGTCAGCAGCATCATGTACAAGATTACTTTTGAGGTAGATACTGTCTAGTCTATCCAAAACTGCACTTATTCTTTCAGGGACAAACATGCTGTACCCTTTGGACCGAAATTAAGCAAAGCATTGCTGGTTGAAAAAAAACTAAAGTAAATGTTCTTGCTTCAATCTCAGACTGCCCTGATCAGAGATGTGCTGCTGCCTGGAGAATGGGATGTGTGTGTCACATCCTACGAGATGCTCATCATTGAAAAGGCAGTGTTCAAGAAGTTCAACTGGAGATACCTGGTTATTGACGAAGCCCACAGGATCAAGAATGAGAAATCAAAGGTCAGACAGCTTCTGAAGTAAAATGGAAATGTACATACGTTTAAAACCACTGTTTTACAAGGTTGCCTAATGAGGGAAAATGCCTTTTTGTTTCCCATAGCTGTCAGAAATTGTGCGAGAATTTAAGACCACCAATCGTTTGTTGCTGACTGGAACACCCCTGCAAAACAACCTTCATGAGCTGTGGGCTCTGCTGAACTTCCTGCTGCCAGACGTCTTTAACTCAGCAGACGTAAGAATCCCCTTGAAATGCACAAGATCAACAGGGAATTTCACTAGGAGATAAACCCACCTACAAGCTGGAGTCCTTAGTTGTAAAGATGTGTTTGTAGTTAGGTTATTTAGTGTTCTGTATTCTGGTACTAATTACATTTTTTTCCCCAAAGGACTTTGATTCCTGGTTTGACACAAACAACTGCTTGGGTGATCAGAAGTTGGTCGAACGTCTTCACACCGTATGTATTAAATGTCCCTCGTGTCAAATTTCAAGTTCTCTTTAAGGTGTCTTACTTAAATAAGCCTTCTGGCAGTAATGCGTTTTCATCCTCTTTGATTTTTAATATATGTAATATAAATATATATTCATTATTTGGGTTGAAGCACGCTTGACCTGCCTCTTTTTTTTTGTGTAGGTTCTGCGTCCTTTCTTGCTCCGTCGTATAAAAGCTGACGTAGAGAAGACTCTGCTCCCGAAAAAAGAGATCAAGATGTACGTGGGCCTGAGTAAGATGCAGCGAGAGTGGTAAGCATCCTTGGCTAAGCTTTTCTACTTTGTTCCACACCGCTTGAAATGACCTGGATACTGACATGTCAACTCGTGTCACAACCCATCAGGTACACAAAGATTCTGATGAAGGACATTGACATTCTGAACTCGGCGGGGAAGATGGACAAGATGCGTCTGCTGAACGTCCTCATGCAGCTGAGGAAATGCTGCAACCACCCGTACCTGTTCGACGGGGCCGAACCTGGCCCCCCCTACACAACTGACCTCCACCTGGTGGTGAACAGCGGCAAGATGGTGGTGCTGGACAAGCTGCTACCCAAGATGAAGGAGCAAGGTATGTAGATGTCTGTGCTCTCATTTCAGGAGAATGTATTGTTATGATCTTTTTATATATAGTATTTCAATTACAGAATTGTTACAATGTAGGATATTGAGATATCAACCTGTATTTCTCATTAATAAGTGGTGGAAGAAGTTCTCTTTACTAGTATTCTTAAGTAAAAGTACCAACGCAACAATCTTAAAATACGCAATTATAAGGCCTTAGTTTAGTTTAAACATTATGTATTCATTTAATAGATTATTTCAAACAGTTAAAGTACTTCTGAATTCTTTCCAGGTTCTCGTGTGCTCATCTTCAGTCAGATGACCAGGATGCTGGACATCTTGGAGGACTACTGCATGTGGAGGAACTATGGCTACTGTCGCCTGGATGGCCAGACTCCGCACGAGGAGAGACAGGTGTGGTTCTCACATCTTGAATAAGAAGATGTCAAATGAGCAATTTAGGTCAATTGAATACCATGGAGGAAGCCATAAGATGAGTTTGTCAAAAAATACATCTCATTTTCATGTATCTTTTTCTTTTCTTCAGATCTCGATCAACGCATACAATGAGCCCAACAGCTCCAAGTTCATCTTCATGTTGAGCACCAGAGCTGGAGGACTGGGTATCAACCTGGCTACAGCGGATGTAGTCATCCTGTACGACTCTGACTGGAACCCTCAAGTCGACCTTCAGGCCATGGTTTGTACTCCAAAGTACTGAACTGCTTGCGTTCCTTATTCAGTTGTAAGGGTAACGTATAACTTTGATTTCAGATGCAGGGGGCTTTATTAGCTTTGTCATTTAATTTCAGGACCGAGCTCACAGAATTGGTCAGCAGAAGCAGGTACGTGTCTTTCGCTTCATCACTGAAAACACAGTGGAGGAGAGGATTGTGGAGAGGGCCGAGATGAAACTACGCCTGGATTCCATTGTCATCCAGCAAGGTAACTCATCTTCCCTGTCTTACTTACAGAATGGATCTCAGAGAAATGTAATTAGAGATTTGAGTAAGCCACTCAATCGTCTTGTGTTTGTTTTAACAGGAAGACTCGTGGATCCGAGCGCAAACAAGCTGGGTAAGGATGAGATGCTGTCCATCATCCGCCACGGTGCCACACATGTGTTTGCCTCCAAAGAGAGCGAAATCACAGACGATGACATTGATGCGATCCTGGAGAGAGGTGAAAGGAAGGTGAGTGTGGGTGCATCAGAGAAAATCCACGCGCAATGCTTTTGTTGGCATTTAGTTGTCATATTTGCCTTAACATTAACAGTCTGATCTTGTCATTTACTAGACTATGGAGATGAAGGAGAAGCTGTCTTCACTGGGTGAGAGCACTCTGAGAAACTTCACCATGGACACAGAGAACAGCAGCGTGTACACATTTGAAGGAGAAGATTATAGAGAGAAGAAGAAGGTAAAAAGACTTCAGTGTTCAGTCGTTAACATGAACAACATGAACCTTTTGAGTCTTTACCCTGTTTCGCCTTTTTGCTTCTTCATTCAGGTCATTACCAACTGGATCGAGCCACCCAAGAGAGAAAGGAAAGCCAATTATGCCGTGGATGCCTATTTCAGAGAAGCTCTGCGAGTCAGTGAGCCCAAAGCACCCAAGGTAGGGACTGCTCACTCTACAAACACCCTTAGCATATAAGGCAGCAGAATGTGTAATTACAGTGTTCTTGATAATTGATGGCATGTTATCCTGCTTATGGCATAACATTTGTTTGTTTGACTCCATTTCCCAGGCTCCCCGTCCTCCCAAGCAGCCAAATGTCCAGGACTTCCAGTTCTTCCCTCCACGTCTATTCGAGCTTCTAGAAAAGGAAATTCTGTTCTACAGAAAGACCATTGGCTACAAGGTACAATTATGTTTTCAGATGAGAAATAGATTCAGTATTGAGTGAGCAAGTTGCAGTCAGCAGTTGTGAAACAGGGCTGCTGCGTAATCCTTGCGGGCAGTTGCGCCCCGGGGCAGTTGCGCCCCGTCAAAGTATATCCACCAAAGGGCTTTTTTTATGGCCACTAACAGCCTCAGATTGTTACTACAAGAATCTAATGACATAATGAAATAGACGTTTTTTAGTAAGATCCTTTTTGTTTAACCAGAAATGGTCACTATATCGCTCTCGTCAAAGCCACCATAGGCCATATTTTTTTTATTATATTATTTATACAAGGCTTGTATTTACATTATTATCTATGGTAGATTAATGGGAAATCGTACAAATGTTTTAAACAATGAAAGAGAAAACATTTGCTTTCCCCAGATTTGGCCCATAGGCCTCTATTTGCTATTACGTTTCACCTTGATCCTCTGAGGTTTTGTAATTTCTTGCAGCATCAGCTCACTACACATCATACCTTACTGTCTTTCCCTGTCTCACCTCATGTGATGTGTTTAGTTGTCATTACATACGTAGGTTAGCTCTCAGCATCAGGCAGCTCTAGAACTACAAAATGGCTCAAATAAAAAAAACTCCACTAGGCATATGGCTTCAAATACAGGTCTGTTATATACCTACCTATAAATGAAATTGCGAAAGCAGGTCACCGAGTGGCTTATCTGGATTGCCTGTGATATACTGAATCTTCTGAATTCTTTCCCGGAAAAGTGACTTTTGTGCCTACATTTCGCCCTGACATTATTTGTCCAAATCTTCTTGAAGTAGGAATGTCTTTTGAAACGCCTCTAAGTTGGTCTGTGAATGTGTGTCTTTAGGTTCCCCGTAATCCAGACATGCCAAATTCGGCCCAGCTCCAGAAAGAAGAGCAGGCTAAGATTGATGAGGCTGAGGCTCTCACAGAGGAGGAACTGGAGGAGAAGGAGAACCTGCTACAGCAGGTACTGATTATTCTCACAAAATGCAATCAAATTTACAGCTGCATGTCAAAATGAAATGTCGTGCGTCTGGATATAGATTGTGCATATTTTGATCAACTGTACCTTCATTGCAGGGATTTACTATTTGGAACAAACGTGACTTTAATCAGTTCATCAAAGCCAACGAGAAGTGGGGAAGAGATGATATTGAAAACATTGCCAGAGAGGTTGAGGGAAAAACTCCAGAAGAAGTCATGGAATATTCTGGTAATTTATCCTCTATTTCACAGGCAACACAAACTTTTCACTTCTCTGTATATTTGGTGAATTTATGTCTGTGTTTGTCCCTCCAGCTGTATTCTGGGAGCGCTGTAATGAGCTGCAGGATATCGAGAAGATCATGGCCCAGATAGAGAGAGGAGAGGCCAGGATCCAGAGAAGAATTAGCATTAAGAAAGCACTGGATTCAAAGGTAGCTGTCAACCATTTGGCTATTCGTTTCCCATTTAAATCACCTAATTAGCTTTGTCTCATTAAGCTGTGTGTTAAACGTTTACACTCTAAATCTGATCGCTTAATTATCTCTTCATCACATCGTCTTCTCTTCCTGATTTAATTAATGGTCCCTCAATATGTTTCTCATCTCCTTGCCCAGATTGGTCGCTACAAGGCTCCCTTCCATCAGCTTCGTATCTCCTATGGCACCAACAAAGGCAAAAACTACACAGAGGAGGAGGACCGCTTCCTTATCTGTATGCTTCACAAGCTGGGCTTCGACAAGGAGAGTGTGTACGACGAGCTGCGTCAGTGCATCCGCAACTCACCCCAGTTCCGCTTCGACTGGTTCCTCAAATCCAGGACTGCCATGGTACATTTTGGCTTCTGTGTACTATTTCTCCTGTGTTTTTTTTTTGTGCAAATGTTTCCTGAAAGTTAAACTTTGGTTGTGTGTGTAGGAGCTCCAGAGGCGATGTAACACCTTGATTACACTGATAGAGAGAGAGAACATGGAGCTGGAGGAGAGGGAGAAGGCTGAGAAAAAGAAACGGGGCCCAAAGAGTGGCTCAGTAAGTTAAAAATCCATCCCATGTTACAGAAAGAAACCGCTTTTGTTATTGATGCTAACTGAGTTGTTCAAATTCAAAATAATATTTGTCTAGGGCTGGGTATTGTTTTAATTTTTTTGATGCCAGTGCTGATATGATTTACGTGGTTTCACAACAATAATTACATTGAAAATTTGTGGGAAAATATGTTTTCATTCCTAAAAGTGTTACATTTTTCTAAACTCACAATAACTTTTTCAATTTTGCCAAAATAAAATACTAAATTAAAGACTACAAATCTGGCCAGGCATTCAGTGTAAGTTTTGGTTTTGCTACTCAGCCCTGTCTTTGTCTGGTAGACATTGACTTTTGTGCTGCTACTTGTGAACTTTCCTAATAATAGTTTTCTCCTCTTACGTAGGCCCAGAAACGAAAGTCAGAGGGAACCCCTGATGGTCGTGGACGCAGGAAAAAGCTCAAGTTGTGAAGCTGATCGCAGTGTGAATCTACTTCGTACAGTGTCAGAATTTGAAAGCGGCAGCCAGCTCTGGTGTCATTAGTCCTAGTGTCTGTCTGTTTTGCAGGCTGTGATAATGTACTGTGTGAAACCCTCTGATGGACTGATCTCTTGGTATTAGTTTTAAGGAAGGGATCTTTTACAAGCCTGCCTTGTTGTCACATAGCTAAACACTGCAGCTGTGCTGGTTTAGTTTTTTGTTTGCTAGTTAATTTTTTACTAGTACTAAATTGAAATAAATGTATTTATGCCTGTTGGTTGTACCACATTCCATTGCTCGAAACAATATGTACCCTTTTTTTTAAGAATACGTTTGTTCCTATGTGAAGTAGAAAATGTCTTTTGAACATCACAAATAAACGCCCCCCCCCCCCTTTTTTTTAAAAAATGTGTGTACTCTGGTTAATAAAACACTGATTCAAAAAAGAACATTTATATTTGGCAGTTGAAGTGTACATATAACCAAACTCTTGAAATTGACAAACAATTAATAAGCCATAAAAGTCTACTAACAGTTGGCACATTAAAATATACTGTCACCTGTAAAATAACTTTTTTTATTTTTTTTTTCCTATTATACTGCAGTTGTTTGTTTTTTCTCAGGACTTGATCAACAAACCAGAAAGACGTATAGTTCAAGTTTCACCAGGGTGTAATACTACCTTTTTTTTTTTTTCATAGTCCTACATTGTTATGTACACAGAAGTTTTGCATCTGATTTCAGCCACATTGACCTGGGGAAAAAAGTAAATTTCTGTAATTACACTATATTGGTGGTGTTACTGCAGGCTTTTTAAAGCACAACAGTGAAATACCAATACTAAAAATCACTTCTCACATAATCATTCATTAAGGTCAGCTTCAACTATCATTCAGTCCATCTTGCTCTATTCTCCACAGAACAAAATAAGGAACACAGTGAATTACAGTTATAAAAAAAACTTAAACTAGTTATTTTTGAGGGAGGAACATAACACATTTTCTGTCATTAAACTTTAAAAGCGGTTGCCGTTTACTCACGTTAAATAATTACATTTACTAAACTTGGATTTTCATGCATTTGCAAACATTGGATAAAGCGGGATATTTTACAACTTTGCAACCAATGAAGCAGGTGAATCATTGAGAGGCTTCTACGTACATCCATGATTCAAAAAAGGCAGAAACCTACAGTACATTACAGCAAGAACTAACCATGATCAGAGATCAGTAAGCCTCTGAAAACTCTGGTGCATTATCTACGTGTAGGCCTCAACACTGACATATTGTGCTGTCCACAGGTTGTACTGGGCGACTCAGTGCTAGAAGAGTTGGGCTTTTAAGGCACAATGGTGGAGGGTGGTCTAAATCTAGACCTCAGAGCTATCTGGGCTGCTCCACATGCTCGCTGGGCTTTGGCTGTAGCCATTGTAGGCAGAAGAAGAGGAGGTGGTGTAAGGAGGGAACTGGGTCTTCTTTTCCCTCTTCTTGCGCCGCAGCAGCAGAAGAACAATGGTGGCGATGAGGCACACAAGGAGGATCAGACCTGCGAGGCCCACTAACATGGGCACGGTGGAGGTGTCAGCCGGTTCTCTGCCAGAACTCTCCAGCAGGGGGCGCTCCAGGAGGGGGTCACGGTTAGGGGACCAAGGCTGGCGCTGGCTCACAACCATGCGGTCTGTTCGGTCCAGAGCGATGTGTTGGATGTTGGTTCCCCGGTTCTTTTCAACACCGATGTCCTGGGTCAGAGCAGAGTCAGAGAAAGTAGGGGCAGCACGGCGCTGGCGTTGGTTGGCCATGTTGGAGGTCTCGGGCTTCTCAACAGAGGACACACTGTGATGCAGGTACTCCACACTGCGCTTGCCAATGTTGCGATTGGCATTTTCTCTGGAGCGGACCGTGTAAATAGTGTGGATGAACCATTCCCGACCAGCAGCCACCTGCAGAAAAAACACAACATGTTTGAGTCTAATTATCACAATTCATAAATGTACTGTATTTTGAGAATGATACAGACCTGGAAAAGTGGAGATGAGGAGAGTGTGAAGCCATCTGATCCTGGTTGTCTGACCAAAGGCAAACCTCCAGGTGTGTCTTGAGCAAGTGTGGCCTTAAAGTCAATATCACCAAATGCTGAAGCTTGAGTCTCTGGCTGTGCCTTGTCCTGCAGAACAACACACGCAGAAATTAGAAATGGCCTCTTTCTTTTGTAGACCCACCCAAGTGTTGTTCTTGTGGATTCATTGTATCTTACCAGGATCTTGAATCGGTAAAGCAGAGAGGGAGCATCTGCCAGGCAGCCATACTCCTTGTTAGTTGGGTTGTACTTGGGAACGTAGCCATCCGCTCCAGTGCAGAGGAAGACTTTCTCAATGCTGCAGTAGAAGGAGTCACCCAGGTTTTGGACTGGGTCCACCATCACACGACCATAGATCGTGGAGCCTGAAGCAAAGAACAGATGAAATGCTAAGTGGGACTTCAACAAGGGATTCTCAGATGGTTAATTGTCATCAGCTGTAATGTTTACTAAAACCCGTTAGGTGGCAGTGTTGTAGTACCCTCTGAAAAAGCAGCATCAGTCCCTTCTCCAAAGCCCATGGAGCCGTCAGACAACCACAACTCCTTCTTGGACAGCAGGAACATCTGCGTGTTGAGGCTAAACTCGGCTGCAACTGGGTCACTCACCTGGAATGCAAAACAAGGGTTACCATGCACGCAACAGATTCTGGGCAGATATGGCAAAAAGCACCCATCTTAACATGTAATTATTCTGTTGGAAATGTATTGAGAAGCTGCCATTAGGGTGAGCTAATAGAACCTGGCTCCTTGGCATCATCAGCATGTTTCATGAAAAATGATCCTGAACCGGTTAAAATGTTAAGCTTGTCCTAACAAATGTAACTGCCCTGGAAATAAGTAAACCTCATTAATCTTATATTAAAGTGTTAATGATTGTTCAAACTTTCCTTTTGCAGTGTAATCTTAAATAAAAACATGTGTTTTGGCTTTAGACCTGACTATAATGTTCCAGAACTAAATAATGCCAGAGGATTTGTGTCAGGATATCCAAGCTAACCTGCTGGAAGCGAATGTCCATGTCAAACGTAAGTGGCTCTCTTGGGTGGCAGACAGGCGGGATACTGAACTCCCCATTGGGTGCTGCACTGCAGGCGATCAACTTTACTGTATAGGTCCCAGAGTAGTCTCGCACCTAGATGTCACACAGAAACATGGAAACAATGCCAAGACTGTCTATGAAATCTATAATCATTTCACCACAGCTGGCAAACTTTGATTGCAAATCCCCTTACAGCAAAGTCTGAGACAAAACTCCACTGCTGCATGGGCTGGTTGTAAGTAGGCTCAGTCCTGACCAGGGTGAGAGTAAAGGTCAGCCCTGGGTGGTCAGCACACATCACCATGGATGACACGCTGGTTCCTAAAAAACATGTGTACAGTCATAAATGTTTAAAGCTGCATTTTGTCCAAACTAGACCTAGCAAATGTGTCTTCCTTTTTATTTATAGTGACCTACTACATTGTTTGTGTCACTTGCTTCCTAACCCTAAACTCTGCAGGGTCATTTTGACATTTGCTGAAATCATCTCTGCCACTTTCACACAGGAAAGACCCCTAATGTGGAACTCCAGAAATAGATGAAGAGATTATGTGGACCGTGGGGTAATCCAATAGGAGGCCGCTCTATAGAACAACCACATTGGATTGGGTTTATGGGATTCATGTGAGTTTGTGGGCGCCACTCTCTTACCTGGATGAGACATAACAAACTGTCCCCTGAAGCGAGCCTCTGTCTTGAAGTTGACCACGAGACGCCCCTCCTCATTTATACGCATACTGGTTGGGTACATGGCTCCTGTTAGAAGAGAAAACAAAGTTTTACTGCACTTTGCAAATGAATTAGATTTTTTTCCCCCTTCTGTACCAGCAGAGAACAGCACTGGTCTGAGAACACACCTTGTAGCTCAGCTTCAGGTGGGCTGCCAATGCCGTCCTGCCACAGAATAGCTGTATCATAGACAAAGGTGAGTTTAAGCTCTGACTGCAGGTCAAAGTGCTGCCAGCCTCCCACAGCCACGGGAGAGTGGAAGACGTAGGACACAAACAGAGGTGCACGCAGTGTGACGTAGGACTGGACCAGGTTCAGCACCTAAACAAGAGATAAATCAGACATTGTCATTCATAATGTAGGAAGTTTACCTGTAGGATTAAAGGCCTGGTCACATCAAAGTGGCATAGTAAAATTAATCTGCACACTGTTGCAAAATGTGTGATTCTACAGGTTTGTCGATTACACAGCGCTAGAAAAACTACTGCAGCTGGCAAGCTAACATACAAACTAGCCGGCCAAGAACACGCTAGCGCTGTCCATCACAATAGCTCACAGAGCTTCTTTTTATTTTCTCTGTACTGGTTTGTTTAATCCACCCATTTTTTAAAATTTGGATTGTCTGTCATTTCATTTCATAAAGAGATTTTGAACAGGGGGTAAAAGCTATCCGTGCTAACTAACTGGTAATCTAGTAAGCTGAGTTGCTAGGGGGTGAATCCACTGATCAATACAGGCTGGTGTGACTGAGCCATAAGAAAGTTTGATTCTCTGTATTTTTTGCTTTTATGTTTGTCACACCTGTCCATCAGTGCCTATGGAGCCTCCACAGTCATTCAGCAGCTCTGACATGTCGTAGTAGCTGGTGAACTCCCAGAGGCAGGCCTCCAAGTTAAGGTTTCTGTAGAAGCGCAGAGAGTTGGCTGAGCGCATGATCGCACTGTACTGGTAGGGAGAGGTCTCGCCAATGATTTCAGGGTTCTTCGTTGCATCGGTGATGAAGCCGTGGCCGGTTTGGATCTCATTGAAGTCCAGCAAGTTGGAGCAGCGATGGTTGCCCACACGTGTGCCATCTGGGCTCAGGGTGAGCTCAAAGTTGGACAGAGGTCTTGTGGAGATCACTGGTAACATGCCTATTGAAAGTGAAAAGCTTGGTAATTTTCTGAGTCTTTGTCTAGAATACTAAAAACAATGACTATATCGAAGGTTGCGACAAATGTTTACTGCTCACCATCCATGTGAGGCATGTTGACAGTCAGTTTAATGAGGTTGGGGAAGTCTGGGTCATCTGGACCGGTGTAGCGGATCTTAGCAGAGAAAGGTTCAGCTCCAACGGTACCTGGGATACGAGGCTGACACAAACCTGCAAAGAGTTAAATGTCAGTTAAACCAATGAACTTTATACTGAGCATACATTTTAGGCCGCCCCCCATGTGCCATCAATTCTTCGCTCACCCTCCTCTCTGCTAAT